CAGTTTTGGTTTAATTACTGTTCTGAGTGTGTTGTTCTTTCAGCAAATGGCCTATTTTTTATTCTGCATGCTCCAGTTAACAATTATTTCAATAATTAATGATGATCAATCAGCCCTAGTTGTGCCCGAAGTTGTAGACTGAAAGCTAATTCATCATAAGTCTACTCATACTTGAATGAAAACCTGTAAAAAGTTTCTGTGATGAACTGTTTGTCCAATAGGTGGAGTTCTGCATCAATGAAGTGAAGCGAACGGGCCATCAGAGCGCAGTTTCCATCAGGGTTCTCAACCGCAACGCCTCCAGCTCCAGACGGCTGCACGGATTTGTTGCTGCACTGAAGGATAACTTTGGCTTCATCGAGACAGCAAACCATGACCAGGAAGTTTTCTTTCACTACAGGTAGAGTAGCTCTGGGTGGAGTCATTGGTTGGGGGTGAACATGTGGAAAGTGCCACCATGTTTTGGTTTTTCTTTCAGTGAAATGTGTGGGGATGTGGATAATTTGGAGCTGGGTGACACGGTGGAATATACTCTCTCTAAGGGGAAAGGAAACAAAGTTAGTGCTGAAAAGGTTACCAAGGTGGCTGCAGGTAAGGGAGGATGACTTGTTTTTATTCATTTTAATATTGGTTATCATGTCTTTTATATTATAAATTTTTCTTTGTTTAGTGAATGGTACTGGTGACGATGTTGGTGCGTCCGTGTTGGCGGGAAAAATCATCCGTCCCATCCGCAGCGTGGATCCCTCCCAGACTGAATACCAAGGACTCATTGAAGTGACTGAGGAAGGTCTGTGTCGCGTTAGAAAGCAGCACAGCTACAACCTACAAACACATCCAGTCAGGTTAACATGAGTAGGTTTGGTTTGTTCCCAGGTGAAGACAAGGGGCAGAACTATCCCTTTGGAATCATGGGGATGACGAACAAGGCAGACTGCCTGCAGAAGGGGGAACATGTTAAGTTCCAAGTTTGCACAGTCACCCAGACTGGCCAGAAGATGGCATGCAACGTTGTTCCTCAGCGCAGAGCTCCAGTGGAGTGCGTCAAGGACCAGGTAGAGTTCACCAGACAGGAGTGACCTTGCATGCTGGATTTTACTGTGCTGCTTCGTATGTAGGGCTACAGGAAAACTGAGCTTCAGGCCTGTCACAATGTAAAACTTGGTGGATGATACACTGCCTTGTAAATTATTGCAATATACCATAATATTTAAGCTTTGAGACTATTTTCAAGTATAATCATAATGGCATAAAAATGTAAGTTTGCCCTTTCAAAGGCCAGCAAACTTTAATTTAGTAAATTTGTATCCCTGCAGCACATTTTAAATAAAGTAACCAAAGCAACAATAACTAAAATGGATTATGACATATGTGCAACCAAAGTTACATTTCAAAAAATATTTTACTTAGACAGGGAAAACGGGTAAAAGTGGCAGGTAGTGCAAACCAGCTGCTTTGTACTGGGCATTTTCTCAATAAGCTTGTTTTTCAACGATACTGAAGGGGAGCATCTCTTTGAGTATTATGGTCCAAATGGAAAATAATTTATCATGCGATTAATTCATTGATTATTATGGCAGGCCTAGTTAATTGCAATCCTTCTTTTTGACAGCTTTTAGCTTTTACTTTCTCCAACCCCCTCCTTCACATTCCGTGTCGGCTAGCTACACGCAGACTTGTTGCCATAGCAACAAACAGCTCCACTATACGCATGAAAATTCAACACCATAAAACCCACAAACGTTTCCCACACAAAGGGCAACACATTCAGTCCTTAACAGTTACATGATTTCAGGCTTGATGTTTATTTTGGGATTATAAAATGATCATCTGAACACAGCGGTGGTTGATTAGCTCATTTAAACAGGTGCTCTAATTGTAATGATGATCTGACAGAGTTGGTGTGTTGGTCACCGAAACACTTAATTTCCTCTGCACTTGGACGTTTGTTTATTTAAACTTTTCAATGACCTGTGATACCCTTGAACCTTGTAATTGAGTTGTCCCAATGTTGTCAATTAGTAGCAAACTAATATTCTATTGAGAATAAAACATTGGCTTGTGAAATTGGAATGTCATTGCATTTTACTGATATTCTTTAAAAAAAAGATATATCCTAAGTCTTATGGATTTAGGATAAGCCCTGAAAATAGTGCTTTCTGTTTTTAACATGCAAGGTTTTGGTCAAGATAAAGTCACAGTTAGACCTTCAAGTGAGTGGGATAAAGTTTTCTTACATGAGCGGTGATCTTGCATGCAGCTTTCTCACAGATCATAGATTATCAATCTATAAAAAGTTTGACCTGCCGATTTCGATTTTAGCCAGTACCATTTTTTTTGATTGAAATGTCGCTAAATATAGGAAGAAAGTCTCTGAGCTGGTAACAGTGGGGTCACTATTGATAATGACCAGCTTGCAGACATGACCTGGTGGCCAGTCTGTCAGTCAAACCTCTCGCTGCAGAGCAGGAGAGGAAAGTGGCTGATTTTTAGACCTTTACTGAAGTAGAAAAGATCAGAGGATGAGATCAACTTTATGTAGATATTGGCTGATCACCGATCTCTCAAAATTGAGGAAATCGGCGTGAAATTGGCTCAATTTTGTGTTGGTAGTAAAAATATTGTAGAGGTAGTAAAAACTAGTAAATTCAACTCTGGGATTCCTGTATAAACCTATTAAGAGCACATCTGCTCTGTCTTCAGCTTTCAGTATAAACCCAAAAATATCTTTCTGAGCAGATCATATATTTAGTGGCAGGTTTTAAAACAGAAGTCACACCGGTTATGATTTGATCCCTGTGATGATGCAGAGGAACGGATTGAAAATGAATGCCTGTTTACCTGGCTCCCCTCAGTTTGGCTTCATTACGTACGAGGTCGGAGAGAGCAAGAAGCTGTTCTTCCACGTGAAAGAAGTGCAGGATGGCGTGGAGCTCCAGATCGGAGATGAGGTGGAGTTTTCAGTTGTCTTCAATCAGCGCACTGGAAAATGTAGTGCCTGCAATGTACGCAGAGTTAGGTGAGAACCCACCATTAGACGCAGAGCCTTCCTGAAATGCAGGGCATGTTAAAGATGAACTTAAGCTGAAACAAATGGCTCTGACTGACGTGTGTGTGATGTCACAGTGAGGGACCCAAACCGGTGGCCACTCCACGTCCCGACCGCCTGGTGAACCGATTGAAGAGCATCACTCTGGATGACGCCAGCGCTCCTCGTCTGGTCATCCTGCGGCAGCCTCGGGGTCCCGACAATTCAAAGGTACACTGCACCTTTTCACTTTGCTACAACGCTCGTTGGAGTTTTCTTCATTTCAGTTTGTTAGGGACAGTGCATATTAATCTACATTGCAATGTAGATTAATAATCATATTTACAGTGCACAGCAGAGTAAATATGCAAAAGATAGCTGCATTTCATCCTAAGATAAGTAAGCAGAGCAAATAACCTCACTATGCAATTCACAGAACACAGCACACGTATGGAGGACCAAAACCAACATAATAAGAAATAAAAAAATCAATATATATTTTGATAAGAAATAAAAACATAAATATATATGTAGTGTTTTCTTTTCCTTACACGAGTTTCCGTCAAGTAATGTATATATTTTCTTTTTCCATTTCCCCTAAACATGCGTTTTGTCAAGAAAAATTAATATTTTGCTTTGTCTTTTTTTGCGTCTCCCTTTTCCATTTGCTGTATTTCTGCTGCATCAACATGTTAATGAGGAGAGCTGTCCAGCTCCTCTACTATTGGCCAACAGAGCTTTGGAACCAACGTCACTGTGTGAGACGTTGTTGGCCGTTCAGCTCGCTCAGTGCATTCTTTACAGGCCACAGACTAAAACAAACTTTATCCCGGTGGTTTTAATGTGTTGCCAAATGTCAAGTCACTTAGGGCCAGGCGTGAAAGTGGTTTTAAAGTCTTGGGGGTACTACGACAGAAGTATATGTATGAATATTTTGATAAGAGGTCGCGGTGGTTTTAGCCACTGGGCGGCGTTCAGTTTGTTACTTACTGCTGAGATCGACTTCCACGATCCACCAGTCGATCGTGATTGGTTACACACTGATTTCTAGTCAATGTGGCACACAATATGGAAGCTATTAAAGAAAACATTAGATTATTTAACATTAAAATTATTTAAAATATGACGACAATTTAAAAGAGGGTAGTCTGTTTCATGTAAAAGCATGAATTACCACCTTTTTTGTATCAGTTGGTCAGAAGGAAAGGCATTTCAGGGTTTCCCCCAGAAAACTTGCTAAGCCTGGTGGTCGGGGCGGTCCACCGTGTTTTTGTATTGAAAGATGTTAAGTAGACAATAAAAGTAAAACTAGAAAATTCCAGCAGAAATTTTAAGGTGCCTGCCACCTGTGCCCATCCCTTTAAACCCAGCATCTAAAATTTGTCATGAAAAATAGATATAAGCAGGTCTGACACACTTAAGCCAACACTAGCACAGAGTAGCTGTGACTACTGTCAGGTATATTATGATATACGTGTCACCATTGAAAAGCGAGACCGACGACTATAAGCGTCGCACATGTGCTTCTCAGTCATGGTCCAAAATAAAAAATATGAAGAAAGTTGGTAATAGTTAATTTCTAAAAACAATTTCAATTTTCATAGTAAAGATTTTAATTTACACTCAAAAATTCAGACAAATAATAATTTTATGTAAGCAAAACATGAGAAGTCACAGGAAATGTGTATTCTTCCCACAATGCATTGTGAGATCTGATTCAGCGCTGTGGGAATACTCACTGCCTCTGTCTGGGGGCCGTTGCTATGGTAATTAATTATCTGCACCTGGGCTGGCTCTCTCCCTGGTTTCTATACTTGTGAGACACCCAGCGTCGGTC